CCCAGCCCGCGCCCGCCTCCTCTCTCCCGCAGTCGGTGCCTCCGCACCGGGCCCGCTCCCGCAATCGGTGCCCCCGTGCCGGGCCCGCTGCCGCAAACAGTGCCCGGCCTGCGTGCGACCCGCTCCCGTCACCCCTCCGGCTGTAGCAGAGCCAGCGCCCCGCACCCCAGTCCTCTGTCCCCGGGTCCCGAGGAGGCCTCCAACTCAGACCCTCTTCCCGTCGAGATGCAACCGGGTCGGAGTTCGAGTTCCGAGCTTCCTTTCTGGTTTTCTGGGCTCAGACTCCCACCAGTCTAGTCTTCCGTGCCCTGGCCCTGCTGGGCGTCAGACTCCTCCAGCCCGAACTCCGCGACTCCGCGCGCACGCCCGCGGTCCTGGCGCTGCCCGTCCAGGCGTCCTCTGCGTCCCATGCCCGCTCTGGACCCTCACTCGGCTGCCCTGTCTCTGCTCCCCTCTCGGGCTCTGTCCAGCCTTCGCCTATCTCCTTGCGGTGCGGGGGATTTGGAGGGCTGGGCGGATGCGTGGGGGGGGGGTAGATAATGGGGACCCAGGCAGAGCTTCTGGATGACCCAAAGGGTATTGGAGGCGCGCCGAAGGTGGGGAGGGAGGGTGGACTGAAGACACGGGAGGAACCGTCCGCTGAGGAAACGATCAAATCTCAGAATGCACCTGGCGTCGGGTGACTTCTCGGGAGGGTGGACCTGGCTGGAAAGAGGGGGTGCCAGTTGAGAGGCTGGAGAGTGTGGGGTGGGATCCAGGAGGGGGAAGTTGGGAAGGAAAGATAGGGGGCAATTGTCTCTGATCCTGAAAGACAGGCACTTGGCAGGGGTGGGGTGGTGGCAGGGATCCTGGATCCGAAAGCATCTTCCTCATCTCCCCCCAAGGCTGTGACTTTAAACCTTTCCTCTTTTGGTGAGTTTCTCCCCAAGTCAGGGCGAGGTTCACCGTGTGATCACATTCTAACCAGCTACTGATGTGGCAGTGGTTGCTTCAGGGGGGCCACAAAGAGGGCACTTAAGGTCTGAGGAGCCCCTCGCAGGCCAGTGTGTAAGGGCTGTGAACTAATTTCCAGGTCATGACCCTCTGCACTGTAGGCAATAGTCTCCTCTGAAATATATGGGCCCGGTGTTGGGGGAGGGATGTTAACTCTAATCCTATCTCTGGGCCCTGGTTATGATGACCTGAGAAGAAACTGGGCCTCAGTTTCTCTTGGGGCTCAGGTTGGAGTTGATGTGTGATCCCCCTCCCCCGCCACAGCAGTAGACATAGATGATGTTGCTTGCGGAGTATTTCAGGCTAGAATGAGCTACCTTTCTTTCAGCAGGCAGAATGTAATGGACAGGGCACAAACTCTGAGTTCCATCCTGCCACTTTCTTGCTGTGTGCTTTTGCCGTATCACTTAACTGTTCTGTCCCACAGTCTCTGATGCGGAGCTCAGTGCCTGTTTTGTAAGAGGATGGAGTAAAGATATGAAAGCGGTGGCCCATACCTATAATCCTAGCTATTCAGGAAGCTGAGACCTGAGGATCACAGTTCAAAGCCAGGCAGGCAGAAAAGTCCATGAGACTCTTATCTCCACTTAACCACCAAAAAGCAGGAAGTGGAGCTATAGTACAAGTGGTAGAGTGCCAGCCTTGAGTGAAAAACGCTGAGGAAAGCACCAGGGCCTTGAGTTCAAGTCTCAGTAACCCCCCCCACACACACATACAAAAGTTATGCAAAGCATAGTGAGTGCTTGACCCAAGCTTCTAGTGATTATTAGCATTAAAGAAACCAGTACAGTATCCAGGTGTCTCAGCCTTGAGACGTTTCTGAGCCAGAATGGAGAAGGGAAGGACATACACTTAGGTATTAGCTCCTTTCCACAATTCTCTTGTTTGCTTGAGTTTTCTGATTAGCAATAGGAGAGAAGGTCAGGTAGGATGAGAATAGGGGTTCCAGAGCTCCTGGACCCCTTAGCTGGAGTGTTAGAAGAAAAATGAGTTTTTAGTAATGCTCAAGATTAGAATGGGTTTTGTGTGTATGAACAAGAGGTTGCCTTGGAAATGAGAGGGGAGATGGCCAGTCTGCCCCATGGTCAGATCTGTGAGATGTGAGAATGGGAAATATCTGTTCCAGATTAGGAGCTTAGCTAGATAGAACTGGCAAGGAATACTAGAGCCACCACCCCTCCAGTTGGGAATAAATTAAAATCAGAGCTTCATGTTGTTAGCTGTTTGACCCCAGAATAATGGACAGGATTCAGCCAGGGCTATCATTCAGGACATCCTCTTGTGACTCAGTTGTTCCAGCTAGGATCAGGGTTCTCAGTTTTCTACTGGAATATTTTTCCTCTGGAAGAAATCTGATATCACTTTCGTGAGAATGTAAGGCAATGTGCTTTGTCCTCAATGCATTTGAAGTATCATTTCTAATTATCACATAGAGAGGTCTAGTTTATTACCCAGTGCAAGAAAATTTGACTCTTGGGAGAGTGAGATCAATTTTCTTGAGGCAAACCTTCTTTGAATCTTGACAGCCTTGAAAGTGCTCTACCACCTCCTTTAAGATGGTTAAGTATTCCCAGGCTTTCCATTTCCCCTTGTGTGTAGTTACTGAGATTTCTCTCAGAAATGGAGTTTGGGCTCTGAGAGGCACTGGTTCTCATATTCTTTTGGAACTTCAAGCAGTCAGAAGGAAGAGGAGGAGAAAGGAGAAGAAAGGGGGGAGAAGGAGGCAAGAAGAGGTTAAAAATAAAAGACAGTCACATGTAATTTTTCCTATTTTTCAGATGAAGCAAAACCTCTACTTCCAAACCTGTGAGCCAACAATGGCTTCTTCCACTCCCCTACCTTGCCCTGGTACCAGAGTTTGAACTCAGAGTTTGAGCTTGCTGTGCTTGCTTGCTCAGCTAGCACTCTACCATTTGAACCACATCTACAGCCTGCATTTTGCTTGTTAGTTTGGACATGGAGTTTCACAGATTTTTCTGCCTGTGCTGGCTTTGAATCTTGATCCTCCAGATCTCAGTCTCCAAGTAACTCAGATGTAAGCTCAGTGGCTCAGGTGTAAGCCACTGGAGCCCAGCATCTCTGCATGAACCTTCAATCTAGGTGTGTAGTTGATGATGGTGACATAGGTAGTCTAGAAGTTAATCCCAGCCTAATGAAGGATTTATTTATGCAGCCTCTTCTCTACGGGACCTGAGGCCTGTATGGTGTGGGCAAACGGTTTCCAAAGAAAATGGATCATCAGAAAAGTCTAGTGAGTCACCTGGTATCACAGTGTGAGCCTTGTGCTCCATGCCCTACACGGAGTGGTCCTCTCCTTAGCTACCATGGACCCCAGGACACAGCAGCTGTGGAGGGGTTGCACAGGGAAAGAGCTGGAGGTTGGTCTGCACCCTCTGCTCCTTTAACTCTCTCTCATATCCTTCTTCTTGACCCCAGAGGAAGAGCTCACAATGTGCGTCTCTGCCTACAACAGTGGGACGGGAACATGGAACCCTGCCTGGCTGTCAGGAGGTGCTCAGAGGATAGCAGGAGGTGGCTAGAGCCTCAGAAACCACCAGCAGCTGTGCTGGGAATTCGCTTTGGGTCCATCCTTTTCAAGCTTCCTATCCATCTTAAAGCTGTGTATGCCCATCACACCCAAAGGTCAGCAGGGTTAAAATGTCTGCCCCAAGTCACAGAGCCAGCGATAGGGAACACTTAGATTCGCATTACAGAGCGTTTTAGTAGAGTTGTCCAGCTATCCAGACAAGGACATCTAGTCCTAGAAAACTGTAGACTTTCAGTGCCAAGAACAGGTCTGTTAGGGTTAGGGGACCTTAGAACTTCCAAGGTGCTAAGAATCCTGGGGACAAGTGACTTCCTGATGAAGGACAACACAGCAAATGCCCAAGAATCAGGCAACCTTGGTCCCTAAGCTCTAGTTCACCTCCTGTCACTGTAGTATTTGTGGCACTCTCTGTGAGCCTCGCAGGGCCCAGTGTATCCTGGTCTCCTTACCAAAGAAACAAGACATAGCCTTTATTTTTCCAACTTACTATTGCACATATAAAATTTATATTTTAAATAAGCAGCTTGGATTTTTACAAATAGATACACCTGTATACACACTTGAAGTGACCAGAATTTTTTTTGATCTTTTGTGGGGCTTGAACTCAGGGTGTAGGTACTGTCCCTGAGCTCTTTTGCTCAAGGCTAGCACTCTACCACTTTGAGCCACAGCTCCACTTCTGGTTTTCTAGTGGTTAATTGGAGATAAGAGTCTTATGGGAACTTTTCTGCCTGTGTGGGCTTCAAACCATTATCTTCAGAGCTCAGCCTCCTGAGTAACTAGGATTACAGGCTTGAGCCACTGGCACCTGGCCAGAATTATTCATAGAACATTTCTACTGCTCTGAAGGATTTTTTTCCTGAAAAAACTCACTCCTCTGCTTTCTGCTTATGTAAATGAGATCATATGGTCTAGAGCCTTTTGTGCTTAGATTCTTTTGTTCAATATGACATTTTTGAGATTCACTCATGTCATTGTGAGTATCAGTGGCTCTTTCCTCCTTATTCTTGAGTAGTAGTCCATTACATGGATGGGCTACATATTCTTTCACTGATTTCTGAGTTGATGCGAATTTTGGTTTATTTCCAGAGTTTTAGATATTCCCAGTATGCAACCATGAATACCTCTTTTATGGACATTTCTCCATTTCTCTATCAGGGCCTAGGATTGGATTGTTGAATCCTATGGTAGGTGTATGTTTAACTGATCAGAAGAAATGACTGAACAGTTTTCTAAGATGTTTATGCCATGTCACATAGTACTATATGAAAGCTCTAGTTGCTTTCTATTCTTGCCAATTATAGACAATTTTAATAGTGGCCATTTTAGTAGGTATGTATATTGACATCTCATAGTGGTTTTAAGTTGTATTGCCCCACCAGTGCATGGTGTGTTGGATGTTCTGACATGTGAATATTGGTTAATGGAGTATCTTTTGTTGTTGTTGTTGTTGGCTGGTCCTTGAGTTTGAACTCTGGAGCTGAGCACTGTCTCTGAGCTCTTGTGCTCAATGTGAGCATTCTACCACTTGAGCCACAACTCCACTTCCAGCTTTTTTGGTAATTTATTGGAAGTAAGAGTCTCACAAGCCTTTCCTGCCAGGGCCGGCTTTGAACCACAATCCTTAGATCCCAGCCACCTAAGTAGCAAGGATTATAGGCATGAGCTGCTAGCACCTAGCTGATTTAAGTTGTTTGTTAGAAAGCAGTCACAACATTTTATCCCTATCTGTGGCTTGCCTTCTCATTCTTATTGGTATTTTATGGAGAAAACATTTTTTTTGTCGGTCTTGGGCTTGAACTCTGGGCTTGGGCGCTGTCCTTCAGCTCTTCAGCTCAAGGCTGGAGCACTCTACCACTTGAGCCACAGCGCCACTTCCAGCCTTTTCTGTTTATGTGGTGCTGAGGAATCGAACCCAGGGCCTCATGCATGCAAGACAAGCACTCTAC